CTGGAACATCCAGCCTGGAACCCTAAATGTTTGTTTATTAAAGAGTACTCATGGTTTGTCCTCTTAATTCACTGAAGGATTCTGAGCTCAATGTTATTATTGTACACACTATTTTTTAGTCTAAAAATTAGAAAGTAGCAATGCAGAAAAAACTGACAAAGGAAGGTTGATTTCAATTACCAGCTAGTTCCACCACTCCTTGCTTTAGCTGAATCATCCTTGAATGTAAAATGTGTAGCTACAGCTAAGTAATTCTATGCATCCTTGAAAGAAACTTTCTCATGGCATTCTTGTAGAACCAAGTCCTGTTCTGTGTTTCCAGAATGAAGCAGAACACAGCCCTGTACACCCTGTATGCTGCGCCAGCTTGCTGAGCAGGCAGGACATCACTACATGCTTAAGCAGGACTTCCCATCCAAAGGTCAAAAAAGCATTACCTAGTTAAATTTCATAACATTTCTGCAAGGAGAGTATTACTCAGTTCCCTTTTTGAAGGGTAGCAAGAAAAGCCACCAAGGCCACAGAGAATAAAATCACAGTGCTAAAATCAAAGGGTAGAAAATGGTTCTAGATTCCTGCTTCAATACTGCAACCACTGCAGCATGCACATTTAAAACTATGATGAACAACACTCAAAGATTCCCTAGAAGATACAACATGCTTTAAAGACCCGGAGAAGTCCCTTGGTTTGCTAAGACCTTAAGAAGCAGGACCAGTTATCACATGTGCAAGAGGTGGCCTGAAACAGAAATCTGATTTTTCAAGGATGGTGTGTGTGACTGTATTTATCTTTACCTAAATGAAACTGGAGGAAGAAAGAGGCAGAGAACCTCTCCCAGCTGCTGTTGAGTTCAGAACTTAGAAACGTGGGATGCTGCATGCCATTTAGAAGGTGTCTTTGTGCTGTCTCTGGCAAGTATGCCATAGGGTGCTTATCTCTGGCACAGGTAGGAAAGAATTCAATGTGCAAAATGAAACTGAGAACATTTCTTTATATAGCAGATACAGATGAACTGGAACTGACTGCAGGAGTTAATAAACAGTAAAGACCTACCTAATGAATGCAGGAAATGGGTATTGACTTTAGAACTCTGTCAGATCAGCTGTACACCAGTCTCTCGCTGGGAAACAAAAGAGCACTTTAAATTGAAAGGGTATTTCCATGATCCAGGAAAATGCAAAATTTAACAGACTCCGAGCAAACAGCAAAACTCTAACATAATGCAGCCCATATTATCAAAGTGTGAAAAGGCAAGACCTCTGCTTGAAAACAGTAACACATATAATCCATCCAAGCAAAGACACAGCCAAGGAGACTGGAGACACACCACAGCATCCCTCACCACACAGCAAATAGAAAGTGTGAAGGTCACCACAGAAAGCAAGTAGTTCTGGGTGCAGAACAGAAGAGAAACTTGTTTGCACACCCAGAAGCATCACAAGAATCCTAGTGACATACCAGATGCCAGGGGATTTTTAACTGTGCCCCTCTCTAATTGAGGATGAAGCACACACCAATACCATTATCTGGCCTGAAGATACTGGCTTACAAAATATGGAACAAACAATAGGAACAGATGCTCATTTGGCCAGATTTCAATAAGCCTCATTAAAATCAAACACCCTGTCCTTGGAGCTCAGGTTCATGCTACATTTCTACCTTATTTAAGCACCTAACACCAGCTCCTGAGAAAGCTGTCCACTGGTGGTTGCACACCAGTAGTAGCACAAAAAGAAATCAATCCTCTTGCAGACATTTTTTGGTTTCTAAAGAGACAAACAGCAGCAGTTGGCAAAAAAGATGCCAAAAGATTAACAGAAAAACTCCTGAGGATGGAAGAGAAACTGATGTTACAGATCACACAGGTGACATCTGTGCACTACAATATATAATTTTTAATTTAAGATCCCACTTCTTCAGTTGAAATGTGCATACTTGAAACTACTCCTACTGTTCCTTATTTGCTTCTATCCAAATATGCCCAGGTCCCATCAATGGAGTTTCAGAGGACAAATACCAGAAAAGCAGGGGTAGGGACAATAGGAGAAGATTTATCAGAACATTATGTTCTAGGTTTGTTTTTAAATGTTTTAATAAAACTAGATAATGCACAAGTTTGCAAAGGTACTGTACACCTGCCTGCACAGGCAATCATACAGATATATCATACAGAAATGGTATCATAGAGAATGGTATCTATAATTATACAGATGGTATCATATAGAAAACCAGGCAAAGTTTTCTAACAAACACAGACTTCCTTGAGTGGTCAAAAAGACAGTAACTCTATGTTACTTTCCATACTTGAAAATGCATATCTGTTTATTGTAAACTTCTTTTCCTTCCATTTTGGAAAAATGCCAGGTGTTAGGCTGGTAATTTACATCTGGGTATCCTGTACAGAAACACTTGTTCATAAGAGAGCTTGATGGATGGACAGTGCTTCAGCCTGTAAAAAAGATATCTCAATATTGATGTGTGTGGCCTCAAGGGAAACTGCATTTCGTTCTTTGAACAAACTTTAGAAACATGAAGCACACAATAAGTCAATGGCATTAACACAGCCATAACAGAGCACAGTTTTCTTTTTTGCAAGTAGGTGCAGAATCAGAAATTCTGTTTTCAGGAAAACCATCGTCTCCTGCAGACTGACATATCTGTCACACATGTGATAATGCTGACTGTGGCGCCCAGTCAGGGCTGATGCCGCACTGCAGGATCAGGTAAGGTTTATCATTAGTTCCAAAGTAAATCTTTTTTGTCTTTTAGTGTCAGTTAAAAATATTAAAAAAAAAAAAAAATAATAAAATTAAATTAAAACTTTGGAAAAGTGCTGCAGATAAAGAAGCCCTCAGTTATCCTTTCCAGTGTTCACTCTCTTGAAAAAACATGTTAAAGTCCAAGGCTGTAAGACACATCAATCATGGAAGATAAAACTCACCATGTGCATAAGACTAAGAGAAGGCCCCTGAACTCCTTAAATCCCATTTAAGCACTTCACCTAGGGAAGATTTAACAGTTGTGCCATTTGCCTGTGCCATTACTGATCCATCTGCATTTAGCTAACTGGATTTATAAATGCTTCAACACTTTGGAATTCAAAAGACAAGCCTTCTTAGAACCTATTTCATTTTGGTTTGTAGCTGGGAATGCAAAGGAAAAGAGTACAATATCGAGGAATGCTAGCACCAGAGGAATTATATCCCCAGAAAAGTCCATATGCTTTTTCATACACACATATGTATGTGTGTGTACATATATGCCTGCATGCATACATGTGTGTATATGTTTTTTTCATATATATACATGATGGCAGATTGTCCTACAGTATATATAGAGATACGTATTGTTCTACAGCATACAGAGATACAATACTTGAAAATATATACTTTTTCATCTCCAGGGTGATGGTTCAGATTCATCCTTAGTGACATGAAACAAATCTTGCTGTTCCTGCCTTGAGTCTTACCCATACGTTTTACCATGATCCCATCAAAAACATTATTTTAAGCGAGTTTATTATTTAGGGCATTAGGATGTTAAAGATATGTCAATTCATTTAGAAGAGGCATCACTTACATTAAGTGTAGCTCTTGCACATCTTTGAATCTTTATAAGATGATCAGGTCAATCAAGATGCTATAAAGCAGATGGAGTCGAATGGGCTTACTATAGTTAGCTTTCTGTAAGCTGCTTCATGGCATCAGAATGATGCTGTATGACAATATAATTCAGTCAGAGCTGCTCTGATGCTTTGTTTAAAGAATTTCACCTACTTTGTATCATAAAGCACTTTAGAAAGCAGTGTGCAATAGCAGTCAACTTAAGAATGGAGGTGCTGGTATTAAATATTAGCCCTTTGTACCAAGATCGGTAGCTTCTCTCAGAAGTGCTTCTCCAGTGGAAGGTAACCTGGCATGTCAAGCGCAGTTTATGAGCACTAAACCACCTGCAAGCACCATGACAAACTTTTATGATAGCCAATTCCCTGACAGGAATCAAAGTAATGGGACATCCAAATTTTACCAGCAAAATCCCAGCAAAGATTTAGCTGGGAAATTATCTTAAAGGTCAATACAAAAGTGGCCCCCGAAGGGACAAGGCACCTTTAACAACCATTCAAAGTATGAAAAAAAAGGACTTCAAGAAGATCAAGGAATAAATAACAGAAACAGAAAACAGGCTTTTGAGTGGTCAGGTTTGTGGTGACAGAGGAGCAACAAAATGCCAGCTGGTTTGGGTAACAGATGGCTGAATGCACTGATCTGTCCTGCATGCCCATTCTGAACTTCCTTTCAGTGAAAATACGAAGCTTGCACAAGGCTAAACACATCCTTCACACAGCCTTTCTATACATATTGCATCACGCTTCAAATGTTTTCCATTCACAAACAGCCCTGCATGTATGTTGTTTTACTCTACTTATGCTGACTTTTAAGAAAAGAGGGTTGCTAATGGCACCTTGTATTTTCCAACTACATCTACTACAATTCTCAAGGAATGACTTTTCTCTCATGGGTTAATATATACTTTTCTTACCATTCTGATTGCTATATCTCCCTCCTCCCTTAAACACAGCATTCACTGTATTTTAATTGAAAGGTCTTTCTTTTTGCACCTCTCCTCCAGCAGCTAAGAAATCTTCATGATATGAAGAGCTCTCATGCAGTATTTTTAGCATGTATCTGGACATTTATTATTTGAAGATGCCACAGCTAATTACATGGCAGGCATAGGCCATCCCCCTGGAAAAGCCTATTACTTGTATAGCAGAATGAACCCTTCAATCCTAGGTAGCTCAAGACTCAAGTAATCATTTCCAATAGAGAAAATCAGCAAGTCTGAAATCTCTACACAGGACAGAAAAGCGTACCCAAAATACCGGCTTTCTGTTTAAACATGTTTTTCCAACTCTGATTTTTAACAAGAACTTTCCTTTCGTTAACAGTGAACAATCTGAAAAAAAACCTCTCAAAACCAAAGCCAGTCTCTTACTTACTTTGGCCACACAATTTTCAGTCTTCATAGCAGTGCTTCCTAGACATACAGTTTCCTGGTTTAAGCACAGTCTGGCACAGCTGTTGTAGGTCTGCAGAAAGATTAAAATGGTTACGAACAGAAGAACACAATTTTCTTTCAGGCACCACATTTTTGGCACAGGAACCCACAACAACTCTATTACATTTCCTTTTTCCTAAGGTGTAAATGTTTCAAACCAAAATAAACTAGCTTACAGCAAAAGCCTATGTTCAGGGCATGCATGTCCTCTGAGAAGCTATGCAGAATTTTATAGTTCTGAGATACAAAGATTTTTATCCTCTTTCCCTTTGAAAAAGGGGAGGGGGGGGGGAAGGAATACCTGATACAAGTTGTTTGGTCTTTCACAAAATGCTGCATAACTGAACAACCAAAGCAAGGTGACTTCTACACCAGTTGTCACAGCAGTACGAAGGTTATAATCGCTTCTCATCTCACTTCTTGTATTCAATCTTTCCAATTTTGGAAAGCTTCTTCTTTTAAAGTAGAATGTCTTTTTAACTTTACCTCATACACTGTCCTGCCCAGGAGACTTTGGAGTCTCTGCAGAACGGTACTCTTTTAAGTCTCTCACTTCTTTAAGGGCACAATATGTACAATACTTATGAAGTATGTTTAAGATTATACTTTGGGTGATTTGGCTATTTTAACTAAGATGCCTGAAGAACTCAGGAATTTCTAATGGAGGCCTCCTCTCCCCCCACTTCCAACACCTTTTTTAATTACGAGTTGATTAAATCCACATTTTCTAGTTGCAGGAGTAGTATAGCAGCACCTAAGAGTTCCAGTACTGGGTTAATACCCCAGTGCCTGTTGCCATTTACAGAAAACAGCTCCCAGGCAAACATGGCAGCCCAAAAGTAAGCACAAACTTGCTCTCTTGCAAGAGTAGTAAGTGGACCACAGAGAAGACACTGCTACCTCAAATAGTTGTGCGGGGAAAAGCCAAGAAGCATGTTGAAAGAGAATGAAATTAAACTTGCTACAAAGACATTTCCAAGAGCACTAAGTAAAACATACTAACATTCATGGTGTTTTTAAAATGGCCTTAAGGGGAGGCCACACCAAGATTTACAGTGAACTGCCTGTCAGTTCTCTCCCTGTAATATTCACTGGCAACTGTGCCGGTGAATATTGCAGGGAAGATCCTCCTTTCAGAGCCTGCAACAGATTTCTGTTTGTTTGACTTGAAACTAATTCAACCCCAAACCTGCTACAGGTTATAAAGCCTGCAGGCAATGCTGGCATACGAAGGGCTCCTAAACCTCTCCCTCTGCTCCAAAGCTACGTCAGAGTCAGATTCCCTCAGTGGCAAGCACCAACAAATTATCTCCCCTTTCTGTCCCTCTACCACAAGGCCCAACTCTGCAAAAGATGTAGTCAGTAACAACACACAAACCAGCAGAGCACATTGCAAAGGACATCAGAGGCAAGAATGCAATGAGATTAAAAGGGAGTTATGCTGAGAGTGATAGGAGCTACATCCACAAGCCCAGCATTCCTAAGTCTCCAGCTCAGGAGGACAGCAAGCACCAGGTGATGGGAATCAAGTGCTCCCAGTCAGTTTATAACATTATTCACCCACATTCTTATGATCCTCATTAAACACTCCTTACTGCCTGCCATGGGAAATCAAGTATACTGGCTCAGGTGGATCTGTACTGGCCAAGTAGAGTACCGATGCTCTTTAGGAAATCCACAGTCCTTTCCACCTTACTTCTTTACAGACCCCTTTAAAGCTCACTGTGAGACAGAAACAAAAAAGGAGCACAGAAGTCCTATGCTCTCCATTGCTTTAGCAGTTCATGTTTTATTTCTCAGTGAGCTCTCTAACCAGAAAACAACCAGTGACAGACAGGAATGCAGAATATCCTGGCTCCAGCAGATCTCCTTACAAGTCGTAACACTGATATCTGCTGTGACTAGCAGCCAGCTAGCAACTTCTGACTGTGGATACACAAGGAGAAACTGAAAAATCCAAACAAAGTGCTGTGCAGATGAACAGAGTGCATCTTTCAGCAGGGGAGGTTCAGATTCAAACTGGGATTAGGCCATAAGCAAACAGAAGTCTGACAGACTCGACTTAGCCTCTTGCAAATATTTGCCAACATCATAAAACCATCACGCTGGTATGCACAGAACTTTCTCCTCAGAAGAAAGATCAGAATGGCATAAACTCTCATGCATTGTGGCTTAGGTGTAGCAGCCCAACTGGTGGACAGAAAGTTGACACTATCTGCTTTGCACTGATGTTCAGACAATACCATGCAAACTTCATTTTATAAGCATCATCTCGGCTAATTCAGCCAGATTCTGAAGGTGAGAAACCATGAAGAATTGATAAGACTCTTTGTTCAGTATTTACATTTGTGTTACTTAATCCATTTATTGTAAACCTGTGATTTCTTTCATTTACAATTCCTAAAATTCCAGTAGCAGTACTTCTGTACAACTTACCTGCTGCATACTGTAAATTTTATGAGGAGTTCTGACTTGAAGGAAGCTACTACTAACTCCACTTTGCAGATGAAAGCTAACCACTAAAACATTTACTGAAAGCAACAAGGAAGCCTGTGGCTCCATGAACTGAACCATGAACTGAAGTCAGATCTTGTCAGTCTGTTTCCTCCCAAGACAGGTATGCACAAGCCTTGGTAGCAAGCCAGCTTTTAAAAGCCTGGCTTACATCAGGCTTTCTTTCACATTTACAAATGGGAAAGAGCAGACAACCCAAATATACCGTATGAAAAAATAAATGCTAAACCTAAAGCTCCTAGAACTTTCTGAGAATGAAGGAAGCTCACCATGCACTATTCAAAGGAAGAAAGCTCACTTACGTACTCTTCAAAAGTTGTGTGCACGCCAGCACGTAGATACAAATATTTATTTCAGTGTATTGCTCAATTTGTATTACTTTCATCCACACCTTACATGTTAGTGTGAACAGCACCAACTGAACTTCCGGTATAACCTGTCATCAAATCCCACAATACCAGGACTAGTGACACTTGATGGAACTAGTACAGTAATAATTTAAAGCAGATAAATTAAACACTTCAAGCAGCAGGCAGTGATTCTGGAGCCTGCTGTCCCAGGACGCTATGGAGAGAAACAACATCAGCAAGTGGAAAGAGATCAAACTAATTTATGGACAGCAGGTCTATAGAGTACATGACAGAGATATTCCTCAGACATCTCTGGTGCAACCATGGTAGATACTGCAGGAGCAGTGAAGAGAGCACAGGGAACAGCCAGACCCGTTCAGCAGCATCCTCCACTGACAGTGCTGGAGCCAGCACTGCATGAGCAGACTGTGGGTCTGATAGACCTGGGCATTCTCGTGCTATCAATACCTCTCTGCCCTTTGACAACATGCCAACGATACTTAAATTCCTCCTTCACAACCTTTTCAGCCACAAAAAGGATAGAAGAACATGCTTTTACTGCGAGAATCAACTTTTACACATAATTTTATTACCTAAAGATCTATGTAAGAGCCGAATTACCAGACAACCATTTAGTCCTCCAGCTCAGTATAAAGTAGTGAGGAAAAAAAAAAAAGAAAATTAAAAGTTGCATGTATAATGGATTCAACCCATCAGGATGAAGATTTGAGCATAAAACAGTGATCTTCAGTTCACATTACTATGTTTGCAAAGTTACAAAGTTCTTCTGCTCTTATTCACATTGTCACCAAAGAATGCATTATTAGCCTTGTGGGATGAATAAAAAAAGTAAAGAAGATTCACGTACATGTTCTACCATATGTTTTAAAAGGTTTAAAGCAAAAATGCAGAAGAAAGACTATTTCTCCTTAAAAAGGAAGTAATGTCACTCTACTTAAGAGGTCTCAATGGAAATGTATTGATAATGCTGCAAAGAAGCTGCATCTGGCTCATGAAGTCAAGTCATAAGAAGCTGCAAGAATATATTGTGACGGTTATACTATATGGTTGCCTTCTAATGTTCCTCTGTAGGCAGCAGTTACTGTCTACTGCGAGACACAAGATTACTGCTGGACATGGAGATTTGATTTAATCTGATACTGTGTTCATACTAGCAGTTACTAGTGAATAGACCTAACTGAAAGCAGAATGAATGTCTTATCATCAAGCAATAATGTAGAGCCTTTCATATTAGATGAAACATTTGATGGTGTCTCATGCTACACTAACACAGCAGAGCACCTCCTTTCATTCATTCCAATGCCTATGTGCACATCGACTAAGAAAACCATGAAAAGCAAAACCAGAGTCAAACCTCAGAAAAGCAAATTTCTCAAGCTCACCTTTAAAGCTCAACCCTTTTATGAATCTCATCTAATTTGCACCAAAACTGTTGAAGTTTCTCCTCACCTTTCAACAAGAGGTTTCTTTGCCAAGGAAAAGCACTCTGAAATGGTAGCCTGGTTCAACACTACAGGCAGATAGCTTTGTGTTGGAGTGCTTTAATATGTTTTTATATTGCATATAAAGCATGCAAACATAAACCAGTTTGTTGAAAACTACCTTCTTTGTGGAAGCAAGCTGTAATTCTGAACAAGTTTTCAATTTTCACACTGCTGCTAGGTAAAACATTTTAAAGAGTTTAATTTTTACAGTGGCTTCAATGACACGAGATTATCTAACAAAGTAATGGTTAATCAATAGAGGGTTTAGTTGTCAGGTGAAACACATAACACACTAAAAGGGATTGATTGCAAGGCTCCTCCTTATTTACTGGGAGGTATATATTTAAAATGACACAAACTTGTTACCAAGCTGCATTCCTTTAACCTTGCAAAAGCCGTTTGAGAAGAGTGTTAAGCAGCCCTATAGCAAAACAAGCTCTAATGAAAAAAAAAAGAAACAAAAGAAACCTACAAATATATGGGAGCACCAAATCATGTCAGAAGCAGGGGAACCACTAAGCTGCATTCACTCTCAGCCAAAGGCTTAAAAAGCCACAGAGACACTAGACTATGGTTCACTAAAGATAGAGCTGTATCTAATCTCATTCCCTAAGTGTCTTTGGTTACATTTTTCTTTTTAAAGAAAGTATGAGCCTGCTCTT